TTTTTCCAGAGTTATGGCTGCATAGAGCAGGGACAGAACCTCATCTTCAACTCAGTCACTCTCCCTTTCCTGCTAAAAGAAAAATATGGTTTTCACTTTTCTCCCATGTTGTCATATTAGCAAAATCCAGAAGAGCTTTTTCCAGTCTAGCAAAGAGCCATGTGACAGAGGAAGTGCAAGGTCCTAGCACCAGCTGTTACTTCTGTTAACAGAAATAGCAAGGTAACCAAATGCTACAAGAATGAAATGGGGTTTTTAATACATATATATTTTTTAATACACATTATAGAGGCAACGCTAAAGGGCATAATGTACTTATCAGACAAAACTGCAAACTCATTATCATTTCTTACCTTGTAATAAATTACCTTGCAAAGAAATCTGTGTCAAATAACCAAGTACAGAATTTGGGGGGGATGGGGGGAGGGATGGGGGAGAAGAGTTCCTTAATGAAAGGTTCCAGGTACAGATCAAGCAAAATCAAGTTAGCAATGATATAAACTTTAAAGTGGTTTCTTAAGACTTGGAACTCCAAGAATCATAGTAAGTGACGACCTTGCACGTCCTCTGTCACATGGCTCTTTGCCAGAATGAAAAAAACTCTTCTGGATTTTGCTTAATATGAAAACCTGGGAGAAAAGTGAAAACCATATTTCCCTTTATAAGTTTAGAAGTTTCCCTTTAAATTCACTTTTGTTCTGAAGTAAACCAAACCACGTATATCCTACTTGACTTGTGAAAGGTCTACTACAACTTGTAAAAGATCCAGTCTTAAACATTCAGCTGCCAGTACACCAGAGCTCATGAAATGCATCTCACAAACGCATCTTCAGAAACACTACGCCTGTTTCACAGGCTCCAACATTGCCAGCTGGTAGTTGTTAACCATTACCTTCCACTCTCCCAATGCTTTCATAGCACACCTGAGATGCAATATTAACCATCTTCACAAACAGACCAGTAAAAAACCAAACTTCTAAACTACGCGTGTGTGAATAAGAATTTTAAGTATGTATCTAGGTCTCTTCAGTTGCCCCCAATTATCACAACGGACAATTATATAACAGACGAAAGGAGCAGTACATATTCTGGAACAGACAAATACAATGGGTCCCTGCCTATCACCTATGGATCAAGGTCTGGCCAAGTAGCTGGCTCCATCTCCTTGTTTTCAGCTGCTAAAATGAACTAAAACTCCACAGACAATAAAGGCTTTCCCAGTATGATTTTTCCAAAGACAATTACTTATTTCACAGATGTTCTTTGATTGCTAGTGGGAAAGGACACAGTCTACTGTTACTGTAGAGGGGGGAAGGTTGTCTTTTGGGGCACTTAAAGATGTGGGCCATCTCGTGAACAAAAATAATTCTCCTGTTGAGACCACTACAAGTTAGCTCCAGGGTTTTCAGAACACCTGGCAGCTGATTTTTTTCTGGTTCTCCAAAAGGCAGGTGTCATGCATGATAAACATTTTTCAATGATACAGAAGTTGTAAACATTCAGAAGTGAATTATATAATTTTCAATCCTTTAAGAAATTTGCAGCTTATGACGGTATATAGCAGAACAGAAGTACTACTTACTACTGTGCACAATCAATCAACTGATATTCATTAGACCTCTCGTAGCAGGCTTTCACACCTTCATCTTGCCAAAGTGTTTTTGTATGTTCATAAAACTCCTGAAAATAAAACATAATGAAAAAAATCAGCAAGAAAAGGATGTACATGCAAAATAAATAAAACAAAACAAAAAAACCCAAGTATAAAGGGCAAATGCTTATGGCTAACTTTAGACCTACACAATAAAGCATCTTTACAAAAATCTTTTGATCATAAGTACCACCAGATTTCTACAGTATCTTGAGCTTATTCTAACAGTATTAAGTTCCCTGGGCAAGCACAATGCTCTCATACCTGCACAATTCTGATCCCCTTGGTAGTACTTCTTAAGTAACACTGACTTTCAGGCTGTGGAGGTGAAGAAATAAGGACCCAAGATAAAACTTGCTAAGATGCTTAAGTGACTTAAGGGTTTAAGTTCCATTAACTTTTAATCACCAAAACTATTTTTTTAAAATACAACTTTGGTTCACAACTGATTTTGATGCTTCTAACTTATATTAAGGATAACATATTAATTACTACCAGAAAACAACAATTACAGGTAATTTTTTTTCAACACACACCTAAAAACAAAAACTCAAAGTATGATTCTCTAGAAGAGGTTTTAAATATTTGTAAACCATTGGATATTATCTAACAATATGTTTGTGAATTCTCATTCCTATAAAAAATGTGTGGTGGGAGCAGTTAGAAAGGTGGAACAAACGGTCACAAAAATATGAGACTACAAATAGACTTCTGACAACTGGTCCTCACTTCCTGAATATCTAAACATAGTACTTGTGGGACTCTACCCCAATTTATTGCATAGTCCAACTAGCTGAATTCCTACGTAGAAAAATGCACACACTACACTTGATATTCCCCAAATCCAAAGAGTAAGAAAAAAAAATACATTAAAGAAATCCCATGCACAAAATTTGACCTAAATAAGAAAAAAAAAAAATCTATAAATTTATTAAAAATAAAAGAACCAGAATGCCTTTAAGGATCTCAGTACACTTTGATTATATAAGGAAACATGCATCTATAAACTCCAATTCTACAATAAGGAGATAAGAAATGATGAGTAACACAGATGCTATATTAGGTAACAAGTAGGTGATGTTGCAGATACCCCAAAAGTTCTAAAAACTTATAAAAAAAAAGGTTAAACAGTAACATCCATCCCATCATACAATGGAGACATAATTCACTGGAAAATTATGTTGTTTTAAACCACTGATGTTTCTTTTAGAGCAGTGGTTCTCAATCTTTGTGGACTCGAAGCAACCCACTATAAAACTTCTGTGAATTCAGTGGCACCCGATTTCAAAAGCTAATTTATATATTACAGAGCTTACCTCCTTGCACAGAGGTTGG